ATCCGCGCTTGCGAAGTTTGCTAACGGGTGAAGTCTAGTCCTTAATCCTTTGCACCCTTGCAGCCTCTACCGATTCCAGCAGAGTGCTGGTAGTCCGTATCGATGGACTTCGTCTTTGGGTTTCCTAAAGATACTCACAAGAATACTGGTATTCTTGTGTTTGTTGATCGGTTCAGCAAGATGGTACATCTTGCTGCTGTACCGGATTCAATTACAGCCCAGGGCTGTGCGCGTGTCTTCATTGGTACTATCTTCCGACTACACGGGTCACCCCGTGAACTCGTGTCGGATAGGGACCCCGGCTTTACGGCGGAGTTCTGGCAATCCGTATTCCGTTCACTTAGAACTCGTTTGTCAATTTCGACTTTTGACCATCCAGATACAGATGGCCAGCTTATGCGCATCAACCGCAACCTCTAATAGATGCTTCGAGGGTATGTCCACTCGTTTACGAGCTGGAGTGAGTTCTTGCCGATGGCGGAATCCGCCATCAACAACTTGGTGCATGTGTCGACAACGCATACATCTTTCTTCGTGAACGGCCTAAGCCATCCACGTTTACCCGCCTTCTTAGAGTGTTACTCTAGTTTAGGGGGGAGGGAACTCGCTCGAACAAAACCCGATCTGGTTCGTGCTTAGCTCACGTCGACAATGGTGTCGACGTGATGGATGCCGATGTCGATGCGATTGATATCAATAATGATGATGACGACAATGCTGGTATATTCAGCATCGCCAACGACTGCCACAGTGAGGACGAAGACGCCCTCACTGGTGAAGACAACGTCTTTTCAGCAGTGCACACGAAGTGCACTGCTGTTGACAAGGATGAATCAGCAGAGGAATTTTTGCTGACACGCGAAGCGGTTATCCGCTTCGTTCAAGACTCTAGTGCAGATGCACTAGACAAACAGAAAAGAAACGCAGACAAACATGGAAAAGAAAATGTTCTTCCATTTGATAAAGGAGACCTAGTTTTACTGTCTACAATAAATCTACCGAAACACGCAGTGACAAACGTGGGCATCAGTAAATTACTGCCCAACTATATTTGTCCACGTCGTGTGTTGCGCCGTATGGGCAACGCGTACACGATCAAACTGCACCTTAGGATGCGTACGCATCCTACGTCTTACGTTGGTCGTCTTTGCCCGTACTATCAGTACGAGCCCGTTTCGAGATGCGAAGAACACCTCCACGGTCGAGAGCCGAGACCACCTTCGAGTGGTCCCGTTTCAACGAGCCAGTCTGGTCGACTAGCGAAGCGACCTGCTCACGCAGTTTAGCGATGTCTCGACGAGCTGCAATCAGCTCGTCACGACGAAAGGGAATCAGGCGTTCTTTCCCAATTTGCGCAAATGCAAACGAAGCACGATCGTTCGGACGGTCGTGCGCTAAGGAATTGTAATTATCATTTACAATGTCATGAAGCTCAAAACGCCGAGTCCGATCATGGGCCAAGTCATCATGTAAGTATTCCGTTAAACGGTTTAGCTCTAGAACATCAAGCTGATCCGATCCTCGAGCAGGATCAGGTGCTCCCACCACCACCACATCCTTTGGTGGAGTCAAGCGGTGGTCAACGCTTCCTACTGGAGCTTTTTTTTAACCACCGCGATGTGAATGGCGTCCGGACGAGTTACCTCGTCCGCTGGCGTGGCTATCCACCGGCGTGGGACAGCTGGGAGCCTCGTGCCCAGCTGATTGTTAATATCCTTGGTCTCGTCGAGCAGTACGACGAGACCCACCCGCTTCATTCGAAGAAGGGCTGCCGGAAAAGGACCTCCCCGAACGCAAGTACAGGGATTGCAATGTGTCAATCCCTTCGGCCATCTCGAAAGAGATGCGCGCCCTCCAGTAGGGATGATTCGGGAGAAAGCCCTCCCTATGGGCACGATTCAAGGTTTCCAGGCAACCTGGACACGAATCAACCCACGAGAGACAGGGTAACCCTGCCTCTCTTGAATCCAGTGCAACTTGTATCGCGCCCAGATTATGTTATGCTTCTCAAACCTGATGCGAGCTGCATCAAGTTTTCCGAATCAGGCCGTATGGCTTATGCACTCGATGTTATATATGAAGGCATTCCATCCTTAGACCAAAACCCCACCTTAGAGTCCACTGTTGCCACAGTACTGCCGATGTTAAAGAGCACTTTAAGAAAGAATTTTTTTCTCAGCATGAATAATTTTCGTGCTGGAATTAGGAGTAAAGATTCCACTACAGTCGAACAACTGGCTTCGATCTCGTTTGGTGGTCATACCGGCCACTCGATCCAAATCCTTATATGACGGCTTCCAATGAGACTATACTTGAGAAGAATGGCGCAGGACATTGCGGTCCCTGGCCTCTTGTGTGGTACCCGCATGAGCACTGACACCAGTGGCAGCTCTATCCCTCAAGTTGCTTCTCTCATGGTGAAGCACATATGCATCACCATCACCACGCGTCTTACCGTTAGGGACTTGCGTGAGACGAGGATTCGTAAAATAATCGCTGATCCAAAGATCGCGAATACGATGCTGCCACGTTCCCCAGAGCGTGTCAACCTTGCTCTTGCAGCGTCCGCGCTGGATGATCCGGATGCGTGAGGTGTCGCCTTCGAGTAGGATGTATCACCCGACTCGCCAAAATAGAACAGCTACAGATAATCTCATCCACACTGAGAGTCACAGCATCCGCTGCGTCCGCAGCGGATGCATCTGTCGCAAGTGTTGACTTACCTCATGGACTTTTCACAACAGGCAACACCTTTGATCAATCGCAACATCAGGCGAAGGATCACCTACTGCTAAGGCTTAAAAAGTACTCTCTTCAGCTGCACGCATGCGTGCAACCGCGTTTCTTGCTGCTTCGGCAGCTCTTCGCATGGACACTGACACCATGCGATGAATTAGCAAATAAGTCTGGCATTTGACCAACAAGTGCTTCCCTTTCAGAGTGATCCAACAGTGGTCACCCTGGCTCAGTCAATTAAATTGCAATCACCGGGTAGACTGATGGTTAAGGTGGGTGATGTGAAGGGGTGGTCCGTTACATGATATTGACACCAGGCAGTGTCAATAGGAATATTGTCTAGCATGACAACTAACTGCCAATACTACCCGAGATAGGTGATTTTGAAGAAATATTATCACTTCTTCGGATTATATTCATGCGCTGCATTAAGACTAGTTAATAAAAGACATATCAACCATAGATTACCACCAATCGCTTCTAGACGCGCGTAATTAGTGGTGGGCAGGTTGTATTCATACGACAATGTAGATTAACATAGTTAGATAAAGACTGAAGCAACATTGTTAGCTTAACTATATTAAATACAGTTCTCTTTTTTCCTTTATTCATAAAACCTTTTTAAGTAGACTAGCTTCCTTTGCACGTACTGGTGTACGTGAAGTTTTTTGGCACCCCGAACAAAGAGTGCCGGTTACAATTCAGCAGTCGTTTGGATCTACCTTCTGTGCCGAGATAGCTAGCGTTATACTAATATCACAATTTAAATTTTCCTTTTTTCGATTAAAGCAAATACGGCTCGAATTGCCAGTCTTAACCAATTTAAGGAACCGTATGGTCTTTCGATTTCTCTGTTATCTGACGATATTCACCACACCTCTCGGCAATTGGCTCTCCGTTTGAATTCCCATGTTTGGATAAAATGAGTCAGTTCATCAGCTTGTTGCAAATAAAAATTCTGCGTCTATTGACCTTCGCCATTCCTACTGTAAACTCGTGTATTCCTACGCATAGTTAACGATGTTGCTAAGAAGCAGATATACCAGTGCACTTCCCGGCACATTATCCACTGCCTTCAAGTAGTAAAAGTGTTTAGTCCATAATTGATCTAGGACCTTTGGATTTGTAAAAAAAATTACGTTGGGTTGGAGTGAATAGGTATAAAGTGTAAAGGGGCTCCACAACGTAGGGTACTTGTTACCCTGTGTCTCAGAAACCCGGGATGGTATACCGCTGAAAGAGATATAAAATATCGTATCCCTTTATAGGGAAAGAAGGGTGTCAGCGACAAGATAGGAAAGATCTTGAAGATACTAATTAGGACAGGAGTGCCTAAATTAGGGACTGTTAGGATCACGATAATCTATATAGTTAAACGTAAATAAGGTTCAGTTTCTTTTTTGATCTTGTGTAAGACACGTGCATTTCGAGGCGTCTCTGATCGTAGATCAGCAACACCTCCCTCAGATAGCTAATCTTGATCACCAAGTGCTATAAATTCAATGAATCGCTCGGTCTACTGGAACAGGGACCTCAACCTTTACGCTTGTTGACTTCATAGATTCTAGTTCTTTAGACCTAATATTGCTCTTTGAGCACTAAGTCTTCCTCTGACTTAAGGGGCTGTGTAGCTCTGCTTCAGAAAGCCTAAAGCATTTTTTCATTGCATGGTGAAGGGTAGGCATTTTATTCCACCAATTTTTAGTTGTTCATGGTGGTAAAGTGTAGCCATGCCTTAAAATAAATGCCTGATCCAATTTAATGTCCTCCCGATAAAACCACATGCTACACTAGGCAGAATATACCTGTCTTTAAAACGACGTCCCAATTCCAAAGTTGGATACAATACCTTCATACAATCCGTTCCATCAACCATACGGATCGCAAGTTTTTCTGTCTTGCGTCAGGTACCGCACAATCCGATCCTTTTGGGGTACGGGTTTCCTTACCTCATCTAAACGTGTGGCGGCTTGGTTGTGAGGTGCGCCTGTAGTTATTTAAACAACATTTATGGTGTTGTGGAATTAGCAAAATGTGTAGTAGAAATAGCGATTTCCTTTCTTTATCATTATCTGCTCGACTAAAGTTGGGTGCCGTATCCGGCAAGCGCTATAACTCATTGTGAGCAGCCCCTTACTACGCTGCACAGACAAGTGATCAATCACTTGCCATACGAAAAACGACCCAAGTGCGACCATGGGTTGCCCGGCACACAAACATCATGTATTCGGTTTTTGGCTTCTATCTCAAGACGAGCACCACGTTTAAACAGGGTTGCCGTCTTTTTCCTTCTTCTTACGACTGTTTGCTCGCTTGATCTTCGTCTTCTCTGCCTTGTCCATCTTTACCCTTTCAGCCTCTGCTGCTGCGGCAGCTTCGCCACTCGTATCCGTAGGCTGCAAAGAAATGCTACCCGTAGCTTCTAGGCTTTCGCGGCACTTCGCGACCCAGGCAACAAGCTCTTCCAATGCAACTGTTGCGAACACAAAAAAATTAAAGTCAGCATCGAACCCATAAATATCAATAAGCCCACGATGCTGGACATACAGGCAACGTACTTTTGCCGTCGTTGTCTTCGTCGATATGTGAAATGACCCACTCCACATCCTCCTGGGTGTTGGCCTTACGTAGAATGGTCATAACAGCATCACGCAGTTCCTCGGCTGATAATACGCCATCGCTATCGCGATCAAGAATATTCAAGCGGTCGCCAACGTGACGATCGACTTCCTCAATTTCAACCTCCAGGTTAGACAGCATACTCTCAAGCTTCTTCATCATGCGACCAGCGGTCTTGTTCTCCGTAGACTGTGCACCAATGCGGCCAGCCGCCAGCAGACCCTCAACATCCATATCGTACTTGTTCTGCTTTAGCTGACCTACCGTCTGACGCTCCTTCTCAACCAGCGACTTGAACGCGAGCGACTCGAGAGCGCCAAGCTCCTCCAAACTTACAATATTCTCAATGCTTTTGGGCACGACTGGAGCGTCTTCATGTTTCTCCCCAGAGACAGCGCTCCACGCTGACGAAGCAGCCACACTCAATTGAGCTTGAGCCTTCTCCATGATCATATCAGTAATTGCCTCCTCCACCACAGTCTGCGTACCGGCAGCAGCAGCATGGGTCGCAGCTGCCTCGTCTTCAGCCTGCTTCGCTTTGGTCTCCTTCTTCTGGGCCTCATCGCGAAACTTTTCTTCGTCTGCGATCATTTCATTCTGATACCGGATACTGTCGAGCTTCAGCTTTCGCATTTCAGCAGTTTCTCCTTCCGTTGACGCCTTCGCTGCCAGAGCTACCTCAGTAACCACTTCTTCGTCCATCGACGACATTGACGTAGCCAACGCCTCCTCCAAATTGTCCGTAGCAGTGATATTCAGGGCCCGCGACATGATGAGTAGCGATGCCGGCACGTTCTTGTTAATGGACAGGTCGAGCCATTGGCGCATTTGGCGAACGTAACCAGCCCTAGTCAGTCCTGTGGCACGCATACCACGCTCCATGCAAGCCATCTGAAGCTCCTCTTTGTTTAGCGAGTCGAGGCCTTCCCAAATAATGTCCTGATCGTCCTTCTTCAGCTGACGAATACGGTTACGCAGCTGGAAGCGCAGTAGGTTGTCGTTGCCGTAAGGCTGTACACCCATAAACCGACACATACCTACAAGCTGCGGTCGTGAGATGTTATCCAGCATCAATTCGTCATTAAACAGCTTCGCGACCTGGAGCGTTTCTTCTGATGACAGCGGTTCTCCACGCTGCGCGCGCTCCACAAAACTCATAACCTCGCTAGCAGTAGCCTTGCGCTCCTCAGACACGCCTTCCGTGTCACGTGTGTCCTGCATGATCTCCTTTACTGTATCTTGCAAGAACCCAGCCAGCGCCACACGGAGCTGCAGCTGGCGCTTCATGTCATCTTCCCGCTGAAAAGAGTCCTTGTACGTGCTCGGCAGCATGTTGGGAAACATCTTGAGTGCTACCGGTAGCAGCAGTTCCATGAACGGCACAATCACAAAGAACGCAAACGGCACAAGGCGAAGCAAATCCACGACCGTACGATGCAACTGCTTGCGTTCACGACGCGAGAGCGCATTGCCCTTAAGCAGACGACGCAAGATACGCGTCGACGTCGACACGTCTGCGTACAGCAGTTTTGTGCCCAGCCAGTAATGGTCCAGCTCGTGCTTTACTTTCCCCTTCAACTTTATTACCCACTCCTTGACGGCCGATGGGTCCGTCATCAGTACCCGCAGCGCGTGTGCAGCAGCTTTAACTCCCTGCAGTGCGAGCTGTGGCGTGCGTTTAAGCAGCGTCACCGCGCGCTCCGGCACCTTGGGCAGCTCTTTCTCGACGTCCTGCACGCGAATCATGCGGCGCTCGCCTCCTTTCTGCAGCGCCGACTCGAGCATCTCCTCCTGTACGCGGATCTTACTGCGTCGACGTCTGGTGGCCGCGATTTTCTTCTTGAGCGCAGCCGCTTCGGCAGGGGTCGATTGCACACTGGAAGATTGTACAGGCGGCTTTGTGGGCAGTCCAGAGAACCGGCGAGCTCGAGGTTCGGTCAGTAGCATAGGGCACGGGGACAGTCGGGACTGAAAGAATGGCGACGCGAGACTGGAGAAGTCGCTGCTGGTGGGCAGCGCCATGTGAGGAGGAGACAGAGCACGTGGAGGCGCATAGCGCGTACAGAGGCGGGAGGTGCGCAGACTCGAGCGCAGCATGGCAGCGACGAGGACGACGTCGGGCGGCCAACTAACTACTTTGAACTGGTCTAAGGTTGGTATGGACTTGGATGGACGTCGCCTTTTTGACCAACGAGCAAGGTCCAATATCTTGTGTGGGTCACTCACTCTACGTGTTTTTTGTCGATTAGATTGGAAGACAACAGTGATTCGATCAGTGGGACGGGTCGTGTTTGTACGTTACGACTGGTTTCAGTCGAGTAGCACGTGTTTTGGAAAAAAGGAAGCGGCTGGATCGATAGTGCAGCACGTCGAGAGCCCTTGGTCATTTGTAAATCGTTCAGTACTTTGAGTATACGAGATTTCGTAGTGCTAGTGCCTTCGTTTGTCCCATTGCTATCGTCTCGGCACCTCATGTGGATGTGTCCATCGAGTTTAAGCGGTCCTTAAAGATAATTTCAAAGCTCATGGCACGTTTATAAGAGCAAATTGCTTTCGATACCACCCCCTTGTCATTGCTCGTACCATTGCAGACACCAGATTTACCACAACATACAGCAACGCTACCAATTATGTGCATAATAGGTTTGATCACTATAGCACCCCTGACAAAGTCTACAATGACACCTACCGCAACAAAGAAATAGCCCCGTTTAGCGTCTTCGAGGCAGCAGAGAGAACCATCAGCGCTCACAGGTTAAAGCAGAGTCTTCAGTACATTCGCACGTACAGAGTTCTGTAGTGGAGATACATGGCGATGATGATGCACAAAAGTAAATCGGCTGGTGAAAAGTGTAAATGAGATAGGGGAGCAAGCCCAGGATCTCGTTGTTTGATATGAATAACCCAGTTCAGAGAACTGAAACAAGTTGTAAAACACTATACAACAGCAGTTACTGTAGAAAGAGTATGGTACTGTCAATGTATGGACTACTTTAGTATATTATGATAGGGCAACGCGATCGGCCTCTGCTTATCAGCGACTAGCAGTTGCTTTGTGATCACATTCGCCTTTGTTTGATTTAAAGCCAATCACGTTCGTACATCACAATATTGACTAGCCATAGAATGACACCTTTCATGCTAATCGACCGTTGAGGGGGGACAGGCTAGATCATATTCAGTACGAGCGAGTTACACCTAGCCGGGTTATTCACAGACAGACACACACAAACAGATAAGTTCGAGTAGAAAGTTCGGTATTCAACCTTGCGCACACTAACTAATAGCTTCTCCCTTCGGGCTCGCGATTGAGCTAGTGGCATCTTACCATTCGCTCCGAAATGATCAGTTTATACAGATTGACGGTGACTGCTTGCAAAGAGCATCAGGCGTGAAATACAAAAGGCTCATTTTTTAGTTCAGTGTAGTTTACTTGTAGAAATAAGAGTTTAATTTTAATGGTAATGGTTATCCGCACCACCCCCAACTTTTTTGCTTTCCGCACGAACCTCATATTGCTACCGAATAAATAATATCAGTGAGTAACAAATACGGAAGGAATTGTCGGGCTTCTGCCACCGCCTCGGGGCGGGTTCGAAACCTTCAGTTAGAAGACTATCTGTGTTTCCAGGTTTAGCCCCTAGAACACAAATATTCGTAATCAATCAAGTTCAGTCGTCATTTTTTATAGTCCTCTTGCAGTCATTGCACTGTACGCATTACGTAAAAGACAAAATTTGTAACGGGGTGAATCGTTACATAACAATTTATAAGAAATTGTTAATAGAATATAACTGTCGAGTGATTTTTCAGCATATTGTCATAAGGACAAATATTCTGCAGCACTTACGAGTTGTTACTTATTGGTTGATATAGGTCATTATATCAACCAACGAAGACACTCCACGACAGACGCACGCAATGAGTGGTGAGCAGATAGTTGGTATACACATTTGTATTCAGACATAGTTAGATGGTGATTTATTAACAGACATTAACTATGATAAATACAGTTCTACTTTTTTCTTTAACCAAGTACTCGCTTCTTCTTACCGTCTTCCTCTGCACGTACCAGTGTACGTGAAGTTATGCGGCACCGCCTCATTCTGTCATCAGAATAAGTAGCTTGTACTGTCACCAGTACAAGCTTCAGGGTGCCCCGTTACACCTGGTAACACTTCGTAGTCCGTCCAAGGGCCACGTTCACATCTAGCATGAATATGTTGAATGATGAAGATGATAAAGCTTTCACGCTACGCGTGACGGCTACTCCCATTTGAGCGATGTCGAATGGGATGCGGTTGAACGGATGGATTCAACCATGGGCATCCATGCTGTTAGCGTCATGCTAGAGGCTCTCAATAGAGATGCCTAACATGCTACTATCGCCAAGTTCATTCAAAATGAACTTGTCGCTGAATGCGAGTAAGTAGCCTTGCTTCACCAACAAGGTTCTCAACAAGCAGAGTTGTTGAGAGAACAGGGTGCTCAACAGTTTGAACTGTAGAGACAGCAGCAGGCTGCTGCTGGTGGGACGATGCACTCGCGTCGACCCGAAACCTTGAAGATTGACATCTCCAAGTATAGGGTAGTTGAAGAGAACTCCCTCTTGATATGGTTTGTCGACTTGGATGACGCCATAAGGGCGCGTCGCATCAACGATGGGAAAATGCAAGTTGCATTTTCCCAATCAAATCTGGCAAGACGTGCCAGACTTGGGCTTTGGGGCTCAAGTTGCACGACCCATATGCGTTTAGGTCGTTGGAGGCTTCAAGTCGCGGCTCAGACAAACATTTGAACCGCCTAGAGTTGAGTTCAGAGCTCGAACTGAACTCCTGAAGCTCAGACAAGGTAAGCGTGATGTGCACGCTTACGCGCAACAAATACGACATCTCACGAGTTGTATAAGTTCCAATCCGGTGGATGAACACACGTTGGTTTCGGTGTTCATGCAGGGTCTTGCGGATGGTCCCGTCGAGACTCACCTGTTACGACTTGAACTAGATTCACTAGAACAAGCCATTTCCATTGCGGAGCAGGAAGACTTCAGTATGAGACAGGCTCGCGCCAGCTCGACATCATATCGTCAACCGAGACGATATGACAGCGGAGGTCCAGAGCCGATGGAAGTCTGTTATGTAGAGGGCGAGAAGGCTCGCTCTACAGACTACAAAAAGTTGCAGAAATGCAATAGATCTCAGAAGACAGGACATTACGCTTACGAGTGTAGTGCCTCTCGTCCAGTGTCTCGCAACACTGGGCGTAGTGACCGTCCACCCATGAGAAAGGGGCAGGGACGCGGTTCCGCTGTTGGTGCAAAGACGCAACAACGGGATGGACCGTCAAAAACGGACAGGATCAGTAGGTGCGGAGCACCCTACTGGTCCAGCAACGTCAAGAGAATTTGCAGGCCTCTTGACGAAGGTTGCTCCCAACACACAAACGTTGTGCGTTGCTGCTCTAGGTAATGAGGTCTCACTCATTACCTTGAAACTCGAAGTGACGAATAAGTTGTCCCTTCGAGCTCTAGTCGATTGTGGGGCGTCCAACAATTTTGTGCGACGCCAATCGCTAGAAGATGGTCACTTTAAGCTCAGTGAATGTGACACACCTCCTACGAGGATGACGGTACGTCTTGCGACAGGCGCATCCATAACCGTAATGAAGCGTATAGTGAAGATCCACTATACGCTAGAAGATACCCAATACGACGATGACTTTATCGTATTGGATTTGGATGACAAATTTGATGTCATCCTTGGAATACCGTGGCTCAGAAGGTACGAACCACGAGTAAACTGGCAACATCGAACAGTAACGATGCCTGCCGCTTGTTCATCAGATGGCCATCTGATGAACGTTTTGGAGCGTCCACAAGCGTGTGGATGTGCTGAGAGTGAGTGCGATGGCCTCACTTGTGGTACGGTCGTTAGTGCGACTGCACAAAACCTTAGTGTACCAAACGGTTACACTTCGGAGCAAAGTTCCGGCGGCTGTGAGGAAACACAGGCTGCGCCGAAGGTCCACCACTCGAATAAGTCGGGTGGACTGGGACAAAGATGTATCCCTAGCGGGGAACATCTAGAAGAGAAACAATCGATCGCTCAGGTCAAGCGAAACGATAATCCTAGATCGACTGGAGAGTCTTTCGTAGAGGATCTCGCTGTGATTGAGCAACCCCAGCTAGAGGAAGTCAAGGGAATAAGTCCCAAGATTACAAATACGGCGGAAATAAGTTCCCCGAAACCCGAGGGAATAAGTCCCCGGGAAGTCGAAGGAATAAGTTCTTCGAGGCCTGAGGGAATAAGTCCCCAGGAAATGACAGGGACACTGATTGTCATAGTCAATAACGGATCAAGTGTAGGCGCTTCTACACTTGATCTGATCGCGCCTCCGAAGTTAACTTCGGAGATCACTCAGTTGCCAACGCTCGAAAATAAAAGGTTCTTGCGTGATCTGCGTAGTGGCAAAGTCAAGCAGATCTGCGTACTCGTCGCTGAAGACGAGTGTGTAACCGAAATAAGGTCAGCAACAGTGTTCACTGAGAACGAGAGAGTTCTCAGTAGTTCATCTATGGACGAGAGTGTCCTAGATGAAAAGACACGAGTTGAGCGATATGACTCCCAATCGTGGGAATTGCTCAAGACAAATACTCTCTATGAAGATTTGGTTGAATTCAAGGATGTATTCCCTGAAACGGTTCCGTGCGAATTACCGAAGGATAAAGGTATTCGACACGAGGTCGAGCTTAAACCGGGCTCGAAGTACTGTGTCATGAAGCAATGGCCACTGCCTCGTGAACAAGTACTTGCGATCGACAAGTTCTTTGCCGATCGTTTAGCTGCGGGCCATGTGAGGGAATCAACTTCCCCACATAGCTCTCCGACCTTCTGTGTGCGAAAAGCAACAGGAGGGTGGCGGATAGTGCATGCATTTAACAAGTTGAATGCTGCAACGGTACCGGCTCAGACGCCGATACCAAGGAAGGACGTAATCATTGATGGTATGTCAAAGAGTACCATCTTTTCGTCCATGGATTTTATGGATGGCTTCTATCAAATCCTTATGCGAGAATGGGACATGCCCTATACCGCAGT